TTTTTTGATACAGGGGATCGAACTTGGGTCCTTGCACTTATGAGGCAGGCAGCAGAACCACACTGAGCTAAATCCCCGGCCCTACAGGAAGAAAACTTTTAAAATACTGTATATTTTTCTTCAGTAAAATTACATTTCTATGTAATATTTCAAGGTTTATGAGCATCTATTAGTTGAGAGTCAGAAAATTCAAGATCAAGTCTCTTCTTTTCCTTTTGTGGAGGTACCTGGAAATGAACACAGGACCTGTGTGCCAGGCATAAGTGGTGCAACCAAGTCATCCCTGGCACTCTCTCTTTCCTTTTCTTTCTTTTTTTTTTTGGAGGCGGGGAGGTACTGGGGATCAAACCTGGGGTCTTGTGTTTGCGAGACAAGACAGAGAAACCACTGAGCTAAATCCCCAAGCCTTTCTCTTTCTTTTCTTTTTGCTCTGCTGGTCAGACTGGCTCAAGCAATTCTGCTTCACACTTCCAAAAAACCAGGACTACAGGCACCCGTCCCTGTGCCTAGCCTCAAGGACAACTCTGACCATAAAAATATGACATTTAATACATATCAGTCAGAACATAAATTAAATACAGAATCTATGATGAACTGTTAAGTTCTTGCTAAAATAAGGGTCACAGTGAGTATTTTCTTTTGAAATGAAAAGCTTCTTACCCTCTTGACTATAAATGCAACAGCTACTATCTCCTATCCCACGCCCATTCAGGTAACTCTAAAAATACAAGTGTTAAAACTGAAAATCACAAGAATTCTACTAATGAAAAGCTATTATTTTTGTGTATTTTTCTAAGCAAACACAATATACATAATTATATAAACAGGTCTAACTCTGGAATTTTACTGTTCACAGTACTATATTCCATTTATGTAATTTCTATGTGAGATGAAGACCAACTTGGGTCTGGTCCACATGCTAAGATCCTAGATACCTCATTTGCTAGCTCTGTGACTCTGGCCAGGTTACTGCTCTTAGTTTTAATTTCTTATCTGTATGGAGGAAATAACGATCCCTATATCATAGGATTTCTAGGTAGATTAAATACTAAAATTCATTCTTCCAGATAAACTTTAGAATTAAAGTAATTATATAAAAACTATATAAATAGGAAAATATATATTTTTGTACTTTATCAAGTTCGATAAAAATTTTCTATATTATTTCAAAAATAGTTTTTTATTTGTTTTGGTAGTACTGGCAAACTGGGTATTAAACAGGGCCTTTGCAATGAGTTCCATCTCCTGTCTTTTTTTAAAATTTTGAGACAGGGTCTCATTAAGTTGCCCATACTGGGCTCAAACTTGTGGTCCTCCTGCCTCAACCTCCAGGAGTGCTAGGGTTACAGGTATGTGTCACCATGCCCAGCTAAAAATAATGTTGGGAAAAATCTTATTTTCTCACTTTTTGTTGAACTACAATGGATACAGACATGATGGCAGTGTGAAAAAGATGTGAATCAACTTACCAGTAACTCAGGACTGCCTTGAGACATAAAAGAACGAGACTGATTTTGGGGGACAATGGCCTTTAATAGTGGAATACCATCACTAATTCCCTATAAAATAAAAGATGTTTAGTGGCTCTGCTCTTGTTTATTAAGTACAAATATGAAAACTTTTATTTCTTTCAGGAAGGATGAAATCTATACCATAGCATTTTACTATATTGATGAATATAATTACTTAATTTAAAATGTAAGAAAGGAATTATGCACTATGTATGGCATCTAATTCCCATCACCTTCTATTGCACTACTTAGAGAAAAAACAGAGATGTGTATTTCAAGGAGCAGCAATCACTTAAAACAGCTAAAAATTTATGATCTTTCCTTTTATCTTGCTAAGATAACATGAATATAAAGTAGAAAACATAAGTCATATAAGAATACCTTTCTCACTGGGCATGGTGGCACACGCCTGTAATTCCAGCATCTGGGAGGCTGAGGCAGTTAGATTGCTGCAAGGCCAGCTCCCTGAGTGCTGGTATTATAGGCGTGGGCCACCATGCTCCACTAACTGAGGTATGTTCTGAAAGCCATAATATTACTATCAGAAAATAAATTAGCTCTCAGAAAAACATCTATTGTCTTACTACAGTGTGATAAAGAATAATCATTTGAACTCAGTTCCTTGATGTGATAATTCATAAGAGATACCTAACATTTATTAGGTAAATAACACCACTAGGTATGTATCCTATACCAAGTATTGGTATATAAAAGGAACTAAATAATGAATTACAAAATTCATTACAACTCATAAATTATAAAGTTACTGCTTTTCTCTTTGCACTGAGTCAGTCAAGAAAACGACTTGCATCTAAGACTAAATGAGAAAGCTATCTGAAAACACATTCATTAAGCTCTTGCTTTCTCCACTCCCACCACTTTCCTCACCATTTTAACACCTAGAAGTGATGGTTTTCAGAGTGCCTGTCTTTCAAACAAATGTACAGAGAAACACCTCTCCTGGTGATGATAAAGGCTACTGCAATAAGTCATTGGCACCCAAGGATAGCTACTGTGCCCTTTATCCTGCTCCAGATGCTGCTCTTAGGGAAAGCTACCATGTGGCATGGTGAATACGGAAGAGACAACTATGTCACAGCCCCTGCAGATGGAGCTCACTATGTAATATCATATAAACAAAATGATTAGACAGCATGAAAATAACTGTCATCATTATATAGTTTTGCATGTTCATCAGATTAGGAGTCAAACAGGGTTTTATGGGTTTATGTGTAGCAAAGACTTAATATAGCAGACCTCAGACTGTGACACTTACAAAGCCCTGCTCACATCTGGGATTTGAATGGCAAACAGTTCTGTACACTGATAAAGCTTTTCTCCATCAATGATAAGGGTGGCTCACTACACCAACATTGAGTGTACAAACAATACAGTCTGTGATGAACACGTGCTCTTTTTCTGGAGTCTGGAATTTTGGTATGTGCCCAGTAAAGGGTACATATGTGATTGGCTGCCAATACAACCTTTGGCCACTGTCTCTAAAGAGCTTCTCTGGAAGATGAAAATGTGTCTTCACATTTTATTACTGGAACAATTAAGCATGCTTTGTAAGAGGATGAAAGAAGACTTTTGGGTGCTTGTGCCTGGCTTTCTCCTGGCCTGCTCCCCACATGCCTTTCTTTTCTTTTCTTTTTTTTTTTTTTTTTTTTTTTTTTTTTTTTTTTTTTTTTTTTGGTTTTTTGAGACAAGGTCTCACTATGTAGTTGAGACTGACCTGGAACTCACTACGTAGCCCAGGTTGGTCTCTAACTCATAGCGATACTCCTGCTTCAGCCTCCCGAGGGCTGGGATTATAGGTGTGCACCACCAAACCCCGCTATTTCCTTTGAATTTTTGAGACAGAGTCTCACTATTCAGTTTAGGCTAAGGCCTGAACTATGTAGCCCACGTCGGCCTCCAACTCAGGATCCTGCCTCAGCCTTCTGAGTGCTGGGATTATAGGTGTGCAGCACCATGCCTGGCTGAAAGTGCTCTTACTACAGCATTAACTACTGTTTTACTTGACTATTCCTGCTGAAACTATCAATTAACACCCTGACTTATTGGGCCATATTGTTTTTTCCTTTTTTTTTTTAATTGCAAGTACTGGGGATTGAACCTAGAGCCTCAGACATGTAGCTTTGCAAGTGATTTACCAATGATTTACATCCACTGCACTTGGTCTACATTTTATAAATAAGCAGACATCATAATTAAGAGCTATTAAAGCATCAGTTCTCTCTATATATATCATTTCAATTGTCACAGAAAGTATTTTAGATCAAACTGTTTAGACTTCTTTGTCAGGAAAATGGGAAGTAGAAGGAAGCAAGCAAGGAAAAACAATTTTCACACTACTACTCAGCAACAAAAGCCTTCAATAAATTTTTTTTTTAAATTCAGGAACATATTATTGTGGTATAATGTACTATTTTAGATTAAGTAATATAATATTTCCCTTCTATTAAAGAATATGAACTTTAATATGTATAGAATTCACAGAGAAAACCCTTTGATATTTCAAAAATGGATATTACCTCTATAAAAAATGACTTGAGTTCAGGGAGGTGTTGAAACAGGTTTAGGGTTGAAATATCTGTTTTTATCTGCTTCTGCATCACTTCCTCTGCTTTTAACCTGGGAGGGTGTGGTTCCTTTGAAATAACAGAAAGGAAAAATTCCATAATTATATTAAAATACCTCTTGCCAGGGTGTGGTGGCACACGCCTGTAATCGCAGCACTCAGGAGGCTGAGGCAGGAGGATTATTGTGAGTTGGAGGCCAGCCTGGGATATATAGTGAGCTCAAGGCAAGCCTGTACTACAAAACAAGACCCCGTCTCAAAAATAAAATAAAGGGCCAGGGATTTAGCTCAGTGGTTCGGTGCCTGCCTTGCAAGCGCAAGGACCGGAGTTCAATTCCCAGTACCAATAAATAAATACATACATACATACAAACAAGACAAACAAACAAACAAATAAACAAATGAACACCACCTCCTGCCATGTCCCTTCCCACACTCTGGGCTCTGACTACAGGAGACTGTACCCACAACTCCAGGCCTCAGCTCAGTAGGTGCTCCCCCTACCACAGTTTCCACACTCATTTCTATGAAACTGCAAGTCTACAACTTGAGGCTCTTCTTACTCATATCTCTTGCAAATTTCTAAATGACAATTAATTATTCATTTATTATTTTATTTGGAAAATTACTCTAGTTTTTTATTCAGTAGTCATTTCTTTCTTTTTTTTTTTTTTTGGTACTGGGGATTGAACTCAGGACCTTGCACTTGTGAGGCAGGCATGGTGCCAATGAGCTACATCCCTACCCAAATATTCATTTCTTTCTATATTGGCTTTTCATGGTTTTTCTTCTCCACCTAGGCCATGGATATCCTAAAGCTAGATAAAAGTCTTACTCATTTTTGGATTTTCAAACACCTGGTACAATATCTTAAACATGGTAGATGCTTAAGAAATGTTTGGTGAAATCAAATGAATTATTTAAAATTTGTAATTTGAATGAATCTTTAATTTTTGATATAAGATTGAAATGTAAATATGTAAATACACACTGTAAGTCAGATATTGTTGCATACTTTTCAAGTAAGTTATTATTCTTCCTTAACTTTGATATTTGAGACACAGAATCACTCATATTAATAAGCAAATACACCAAAGGTAGTTAGAATGCAGAACAGAATCCTATCAAAATGTAAGGTTCTTTCATCTCTACCATAAAATGTTAGGTACAGAAAAAAGATATGACAGCTTTAAGTATGTAAATATTTATCTCTTAATAAGTATTATTCATTTTAATTTAGTTCACATTTTGAGGGACTGGGGATTGAACATGGGGTTTCGAAAATGCTAGGCAAGTGCCTTCTTGCTGAGCTAGATTCCCAGTCCTTTTTATTTTGAGATAGGATCTTGCTAAAATGCCAGGTTGCAATCCAAAAATGGGCATGTGAAAAGAACAGACACTTCTCAGATGAAGTACAAATGGCAAATAAATATAGGAAAAAATGTTCAACATCACTAGTCATTTGAGAGACGCAAATTAAAACAACTCTGAGATTCCATTTGACCCCAGAAAGAATGGTTGCTATAAGAAATCAACCAATAACAAATGCTGGTGGGGCTATGGGGAAAAAGGAACCCTTGTCTACTGTTGGTAGGAGTGTAGACTGGTGCAACCACTTTGGAAATCAGTGTGGAGATTCATCAAAAAACTAAAACATGACTCAGCCAAAAAGAATGAGAAACTAGAGACATTTATAGCCAAGTGGATGCACACTGAGGCCATACTCTGAAGTGAAATAAATAGGACACACATGTGTAAATACTGTATGGTTTCTCTAGTGTGAGAAACTAAAAGTGTAAATAAGGACTAAAAAGTATAATAGAAAATGTGAAATAGGAAGAAAAGGTGCAAAAGGGAAGGGGAAGTGGGAGGGGTAGTCTTTGTAAATAGGGAAGGGTGAAAGGGGTATGGGGAAAAGAAAAAGGGAATGGAATTCATATGAGAAAATGAAAAAACGGAAAAAAGTCTTTCTAGATAAGGAGCGGTGGAGGGGTTGGAGGGCGGGGCGATGGGGAAAAAATAAAAACCAAGATGGATTATTATATAAAGGTGTAAATTTTCAATGATGAATATAATTATATTGTATACCTTAAATGTACCAATAAAATTAATTTAAAAACAAAACAAAAATATAAAATATGAGGTTCCATTTGACCCAGCTATTTTCTTCTTGGTATCTTCCTGAAAGAATTAAATGCATCATATCACAGCAATATATGTGCACCATGTTTACAGCCAGCACAACAGTTTGTCATAGCTAAATCTTGGAAACAGCCCAAATGTCTGTCAACCAAGAAAGGGGTAAAGATGCTTAAAAAAAAAAACCCAAAAAACAATGAAGTACTACTCTGCTATAAAGAAAGATAAGCTTGAGATATTTCAAGCTAAATGGATGTACCTTTAGACCATACTCTTGAGTGAAATAAATCAGGCACACATATTTAAATACCACATTTTTTTTTCTGGTATGGAAAATCAAAAGTGGAAATAAAAACCAAAATGTATAATAGATATTTGGAAATGGGAGGAAAATATTCAAATAAGAAGGGAAACGACGGGGGGGGGGCGTAAAGGAAAAGGGACAGGAAAAAAATAGAAGGAAAAATGGAAACAAAGCTTTTATAAATGAGGAGAAGAGGGGTCAAAGGAGACAAAGAGGACTTAAAGGGGGGAATGGGAAAAAGAAGCAAGATATTATCATACAGAGGTACAAATTCCATATGATGAAAGTTATCATTAAGTATGATAATGTAAAAAAAGGAAAAAAATGGAAACAAAGTCTTTGTAAATAGGGAAGGGTGAAAGGGGCAAAGGGAGGGAAGGGGTATGGGGAAAAATAAGAACCAAAATATAAAAAGGTACAAGATCCCAATGATAAATGTACCTGTATTGTTTGCTTTAAATGTACCAATAAACTTAATGGGAAAAATTAATTTCTTGTAAAATTCAGCAGAGAAAAAAAAGTATATAATGTACCAATGTTTTGTTTCAAAAACAAAACCAAAAAACTGCCAGAGCTGGGCATAGTGGTGCATGCCTGTAATCCCAGCACTTGGGAGGCTGAGGCAGGAGGATCGCTTTGAGTTCAAGAACAGCCTGGGTTACATGGTGAGTTCCAGGATAGTCTGAACTACATAGTGAGACCCTCTCTCAAACAAACAAAAAACCCTGGCAGGGTGGCCTTGAATTTTGCCTTAGGCTCCCCCAGAGCTGAAGTTATATGCACACAGCACCATGTCTGGAATATTTAATAGTTTGATTTTATATTTTATAATTTGACTCTTAAGACTGGGCTTCAGCTCAGTATAGTAAATACCCATTTTGGGCTGATTTTAACAACTAGAATTTTTAGTCCTAATATAAAGACAGTTTTTTTTTTTTAAACTAAAGCTATATGAAGCTTGTGGATTAAACAATAAATTTCTAAATTAAAAAAATAAAGACAGTTTAATGGCAATATAAAGAAACAATATAAAGTGACTGGTTTTCTAATTAAGTATAAATCTTTCTGTGAAACTGGGGGCTGTAGCTCAGTGGTAGAGTACTTGTTAGCATGCATGAAGCCCTGGGTTTAATACCTAGAACTGGGGGGAGAAAAAAAGAAAAAGAAAAAGATAAGGGAACAATCAATTAGAGATTTTTTTTTTTTTTTAACTTTTGGAGACAGGGTCTCACCACATAGCTTGGGCTGGCTTCGAATTTACTATGTAATCAAGCCTGGCCTCAAACTTGCAGCAATTCTTCCACCTCAACCTCCCAGTGCTGGGATTACAGGTGTGCATCACCATGCCCAGCTAAAGCTATTTACTTTTAAATGTCAGTGAATTTTTTTTCCAAATTCTGGATAACAATTTTGAAATAAGGCTTTAAAATCTTATAAAATGGTAGTATTATTCCTTACCAATTCAATTGTAGATTTCAATTGTCAATAATTTATATAATTTACCTTTAGCAGTTGACAAGGTGTTTGCCCAAAATTATTAATCATCCCTTCTAAGGCTTTTCGTTCCTTTTCATCTGTTAAAGAATCCAGATCCACAGCTCCTAAAACCAGAAGGAACTAACTCACCATGAAGTAAAAACAAATCAGCAAGCCACATCACTAACAGATAAGCACTGATAACTTTATTTTTAACTAAATATTCTTCAGTTTGTTATAACACTATGAAGAGATAATTTTCCAAAAATCAGTAAATTATCCATTATTAAATGTGCATAAAATAAATGTCATCCATCATTTAAGTGATTAAGTTAACTGGTATTCTTTGAAAGCTTCTATTAGAAAAACATAAATTATACTCATACTACACTTAATTTTAGGTTTTCTTCATGATAGAATTAAATAAGAGTATTATATAAAAACACTGCTTTAAATTACAGCTTTAAAACTAAGTTTGGGGAAGGTAATATTCTTAATTTATTGATTATACTCAGTCACACTTAATATGGAATATGGATCACTACATGGCTAGTAATTGGCCAAACTGGGTAAGTCCAAGCTGCCAATAACCATGCAATACTACTTTACTAACAAACCTTTTACCCGAATGGATTGAAACTATTAGCTGTAATTAAGAATTAGAAAAAAGGTCTGGGATATAGTTCAGTGGCAGAGTGCCTGCTGTTCATGTACAAGGCCCTGGGTTCAATTCCAAGAACCACAAAAATGAACAAACTACTTTACCACCTTTTAAAGTCATCAGAAGCTTGATCCTTGGAGCTAAGTAATATCAATGAAGAATTTGTTATTCATGATTTTAGAGGTCTTCTTTCAAAGTTTGCTAACAATTTAATAGGAATATTTAATGTAGGACTGAATAAATAGGGTATGTATGACAGATTTAAAACTTCTATGACATCAATAATTGGCATTTATAATTAGGTTTGCATATATGTACTTTACTATTATTTAAAAAAAAACAGCAGTTTCTTAATCTTTCAAATAGAAATTTTTTGTTAGCTAAGTGTGATGGTGCACCCTGGTAACTCCAGCACTTAAGAGAATGAGGAAGGAAGATTGTGAGTTCAAGGACAACCTAGACAACTTAGAGAGATCATGCCTCAAAATAAAAAAGTATGAGGGATGTAGTTCATTGCAAAGGCACTAGGTTCAATCCCCAGTACCACCACCACCAAAACAAAAAAGCAATAGAAAAAGTTTATAGGTTTTACCTTCATAACTACAGTAATAGAAAACATTGAGTGCTTCCACTGCAGCTGGTCCCCTCTGTTTATAGCCAAAAATCAGATCTATCCATTCATGCAGATGAGCAGAAACATATTCAGACTCCTAGAAAATGAACAATTTTATTAATTAATACAAACATATCTTCCAACTACAATATAAATTCAAGTTTTTGGTTTTTTGGTTTTTGGTACCAGGGATCAAACTTGAGACCTTGCGCTTGTGAGACAGGTGGTGGCACCACTGAGCTAAATCCCCAGCTATTAAATTCTATTTTTTTAAAAAAATTTTTTATTTGAATTGAATTTATTGGTACATTCTAGGTATATAATACAGTTACATTCATTACTGGGATCTTGTACCTCTACATGACAAGTCTTGGTTCTCATTTTTCCCCCCTCTAATTTTTTTTTTTTAAAGAGAAAATTAAACATTTTCCACACAGATATGTCTGTATATATGATTCAGTCATTTTTTATTTAAAATTTAATTTTGAAAAATGTACTTTCACTTTACTGGCACATCTAAAACATTACATGATTGGCACTGTACATTAACTTCTAAGAGTCCTATGATTTTCTACCATAATCCAGCTGTTTGCAAAGTTTTCTTAAATTTTTAAATTTTTCTTAGTATATGTTTGTAGCACATAATAACATTCACTGTGGGAAGTTGGTGTATGTACATAATGCATCTTTTTACTTCTCCTTTCCCTCCTCTTCAAAGTCATACTACATATCCAGTATTCAGTACATATAATTATTCATGTCTACTATAATGTAGATTATCATATTTTTAAATTGTAATGTACCTCCTGAGTGAAGAAAGTAACACAAATAAGCTAATAACAGCCGAAATATCTGTAAGATTTACTAAGAACTGAGGGATGCATCTTTGTGGTACAATTTCTCTTTTTTTGGTACCGGGGATCGAACTCAGGTCCTTGCGCTTGTGAGGCAGGCAGTGGAACCACTGAGCTAAATCCCCAGCCCTACAATTCCCATTGAAACAGTTGTGTAGAACTTTGCAATTGAAGGAAAAAGGAAAAAAATTAAATTGAAGGAAACTATGAAACCACAGTGAAATGGAATAAAAAAAGGGGAAAAAAGCTGCAAATTACTCTCTGCCACTTTACCCAGCAGGAGGCAGACAGGGGGGCAGCAGAGGGGGCATTGCTCCACTGACTATAGCAATGATGGACTGACAAATTTGAGGAGGTTGCTGCTGGAGACAGAAACAAAGGGGCTCATGTTTTAGTCAGTGACAGAGACTTTCTGACAGGGTCTCACTATATAGTCCAGGGATAGCCTTGAAATCACTATATATCCCCAACTGGCCTTGAATTTGCAGAGATCATCCTGCCTCAGCCTTCTAAGTGCAGAGATTACAGGAAAGCATCACTATGGCTAGCTCCCAACTGGCTTCTTTTAAATGCCAACAATAATGTGTGGGAGAAGGAAAATGGTTAAAAAATAAACTATCTTTTCATTTCATGAAACATTTAAGTACATAGATCTTTTTTAAACCATAATTTTAATATGAGAGGGCTAAGTCTTGTTGGGGTTGAAAATAAAACTATTTGTCATTCCCAGAATTTGCAGAGAGAAAAGACATTCAAAATGGTAAGTGGCAATAATCAAATCAGAATGTCAACAAAAATATAGCCTCAGGCTAAAGCTTCCAGGGCTTTATCACAGGCAACTAAATTAGACAGAAATTAATAGGCCCAGGAGGAATTCAGTGCAGAATGTGAGAACACATCTTGGCTGGAGGTCCATCTGAGGAAGGCAAAACCTTGAGATTAAAGTCACAAAGGCCAAATTTACATACTTTTCTAAGGAACAAATGGAAGTTTGAGATTATACTGTAATTGGTACCACCCTTCTGGGATTTCCCATGGAAACAAACTATTACCTCACTAGGGGTGGACAATCTTCTCTCAGACTAAAAGACAAGACTAAGAGTATAGATTATCAAATTCTAACTTCCCAAACATGTAACTCATTTCTTTGAGAAAGTGCTACCCTCCTAATTAGTCTTATATCTCTCTCAATAAATCTTTCCCACTCTTCACCTGCACTATTCTTTGGAATTCATTCTTCAATTTCAAGGAACATGAACTCACACATCTGCCATTTAGCAGGTTGGGAGTTATATCTTTCCTATACCAGTTTGACTGTAAAACAATCTGTTGAGACCTCAGAAGGATTTGGGGTTACCCCTCTTTTCTCCACTCATCTAGAAAATGATGAGTAGGCATTTTCCCTTAGTAGCCTTCCATTTAATCCAAAGTAGAGGAGACCAATTTGTAAAGGAACATGAAATGGATTTTTTTTCTTTTTTAGTACCAGGGAATGAACTCCATGGAATGGCTTTTCTCCAAATAGAGCTGAGAAAATCAGTTTTAAAAAGGAATTATACTACTTCAGGTCCAAAGATACAAATATTGTTAGAAAAGAATAGAAACATTTGACTTCCAATTTACTATGGTTAGGTAAGAAGATGATACAAGTACTGTACTCATGTAAGAAAGCCTTTTTTTATGGAAAAGAATGATTCAGAGAAGGGGAGAATTAAGGGCAAAATTGAGAGCCACTGAAAACCATTCTCAGAACAGGGATTTAGCTCAGTGGTTCTGCCACCTGCCTTGCAAGTACAAAGAAAACCATTCTCAAAGGAACAGGACTAGGTCCTCATAAAAGACATATTTCTACTGAAATTCTGAATTGCAATAAACCAGTGAGTGCAAAGACCTCCTGTTTTTCTCCCCCTTTTGAATAAAAGTAATATTATAGTTCTCCTGTCCTATTATTTGGTAAATTTTTTCTTTATTTCAATCTTTGGATTCAAGAGAAGGAGCCAGATCTGAGTGGTTTCATACTTACACCTGATGGAGATATCAAGATCTTGAACTTTAAAACTTAAACCTTAAACCAGGGATTTGGCTCAGTGGTTCAGCTGCCAGCTTTGTAAGCGCAAGGGCCCAAGTTCAATCCCCGGTACCAAAAAAAAAAAAGATTCAAACCTTAATGTAAGGATTATGAACTTCTACCTGAGAGTCAAATCTTATCTGCTACCACATTTGTAGACTGATTAGTAGCAGAACCCAGCCACATATTTTCTTTTGTATTGCAACAGCAGAGGTGAGTAGTGTGATCCAGACCTTACTGTTTACAAAGCCAAACAATGTTTACTACCTGGTTCTTTACTGAAAAAAACCTGCCAATGCCTGATTTAATGGACTGGGGTGTGTCTGGAGTGGAAATGAGTATATTTTGTCTATAGGAGGAATATAAATACTTTGGGGCCAGGGGATAGATTGTATAGTGAATTACAGATAGCTGCAAATTCTTTCTCACTTTTACCATTTAGTGGAGTTTCTCTCCTTTTGTGGGGGGAGCAGTACTGGGATCAAATTCAGGATCTTGATCTTTGGAGGCAGGCACGGTGCCACTGAGCTAAATCCCTAGCCCAACTTTCTCTTCTCTTGATTCTACACTCAGTCTTTAACCACCACAAGGTTGCAACATTGATGCAATTACAAATCAGAGCCTTACCCAGCTGATATGGCACATGTCTGTGATCCCAGCATTGAGGAGACAGCTCAGGGCTCCCCAAAATACAATGGAAGCTTCCTTATTTCTTCAAAAGTAACACTTTGAATTGTTTTTGTTTTTGTTTTTTGAGACAGGGTCTCACTATGTAGTTGAGACTGATCTGGAACTCACTATATAGCCCAGGCTGGTCTCAAACTCACAGCAATTGTGCTGCCTCAGCCTCCGCAGTGCTGGGATTATAGGTGTGTGCTACCACACCTGGCTTTTGCTTTGTTTTTTAGACAGGTTCTCACTCTGTAGTTCAGGCTGGCCTTCAACTCACTATGTAGTCTAGACTGGCCTTGAACTCACAGCAATTCTCCAGCCTCAGCCTCGGGAGGGCTGGTATTACAGATGTGAGCCACCAAGCCTGGCTCATTTGCATAAATCTTACTCCCAACGCTGTAATGTATAACATAATATAAAACTATAGTACTGTACCATTAGCAAAAATTACAGTAGTACATAAACAAGTTGTACTGTACCCAAAAAAGACACTAAGACTCTATAAACAAGATGCACAGAAATATACCAAAAAAAGACAGGCAGTAAGTCCAAATGGCAGTCCTAAACCTGAACAGTGCACCTCTGTTGTAAATCCAAATAGTTAAATAGGCTGTTACACGAGGAACATCTGTACAGGTGGGGCATTCCTTATCCAAAATGCTTGGGACCAGGAGTACATCAGTACCTATATAGCTTCTCTTACATGAGAAACCCAAAGTATGAATAATTTAAAGAGCAAAATAAAAGAGATGACAGGAACCAGGGAGGCAGATCTTTAGATGATGGGAGAAAGTTGGTGGGGAAGTGAAGGGAAAATAAAAAGGACTAAGATGTGACATGCACATGTACCAATTCCCCACAATAAATGTATTCATCATGTATCACAAAGATGTACTAATAAAACTTTAAAAATTTTTAAAAATCTGAATTTCTAGAAAATCCAAAACCAAGTTTAAAGACACTCAACCTGCATTTTGCTACACATTCATGGACCATTCTAAATTCTCACTGTATCAAAATATTCATATCCTAAATTACTATATCATAACTTTCTAAAAACAATATATATATAACACATTACAAATTAATCAATTTGTTGGATATATTTATCTCATCTTTCTGAAAATACATCTGGATCTCAGTAATTCAACAAGTAAAAAAAAATTTTAAATCTTACCAGAGCTTTTCTATGTTTACAGATGAAATCTTCAGCTGATTTGGCCCACTTGGGGAGAATGACATCATTTACTAGTTCTTTGGAAACTTGTAGACGACCCAAGTTAAATTCTAAGATATGTAAAAAATAGATGTATCTTATCATTTTAGATTTAGATAAATGAACAAAACCAAATACAAATGAGGATATATTACTAAGCAAAACAGATGGTATTTTTTCTTTAATTCTTACTTATTGGAGTAGGGTCTCTGTATTAATTAAAAACATATACAATAATTTCAAATTAGTTACTTCAAAGTAAATCAGAATAAGAATTAAGTTTTTTGTTGAGGGAAGACCTAGGACTACAGCTCTTACTTTAATCTGAATGAAAATATAATGCAGTATTAGGTAGAATTTTTACACTGAAAATAAGCAGCAATGCCTCTAATGCTCATTAGAACTCTGTTGAAACTTACATCCTAAACTTGCTCAACTTGCTTACTAGAACAGTTGTATGCGTTTTCCAGAAGAATCAGATATATAGAAGAATTAAATACATGCACATATATAGCCTAGACTGGGTTTCAACATGTTATCCTCCTGTCTCTGACTGAGGAGAACTGGGATTACAGGGGTGTGCCACCATGCTTAGCTAAGAGCAGTAGCACCGCTGAGCTAAATCCCTGGCCGTAGAACATGGCATTTTGATGAAATTTCTCCAAATACAAAGTTTTCTTATGCATGCAATATGGGAGGAAAAGTGTTAACACAAAAGAATTTCAAGACGAAATATCTTTAAATAACAGTCTTAAAATAACTGTCTGCTGCTTTAAAATACTAACATGTGTCTGGGCTGGGGATTTAGCTCAGTGGCTTGGTGCCTGCCTTGCAAGCACAAGGTCCTGAGTTTGATCCGGGTATCACAAACAAAACAAACATGTGCGTCAAGAAGGAGTGAGGTTTAAATGTCACAGAGTATCAGGATACATAAGGTCCTTGGTTTTATGTTAAGCCAGTTGCTGTACTGTGTGTTGTTCACCTTATGATCATTCCCCCTTTTTATTTGCTAGCAGAAACTTTATTTCATTGGAGTGTTTGTTTATGCCGATTTAAGGTGACTGGTCTGTGACCCAGCTCTGCAGACTGGGAGAGCTTCTGAGGAAGGATGTCTCACTTTTGAGACAGGACATGATGAATCAGTACTCCCATTTCTAAAATACTTTTGTTTCAGATACTGTTGTATCTACCTATGATGTTTTAAACTGCTTTAATCCTTTATAACCCTGAAAGAACTAGCTACTGACAAAATATTCAACATGGTAGTGAAAAATACAGAAAGAGGTTGGCCTTGATAATATCAAGGTATCTGAAACTTCTATATTTCTGGATTTTTGTTATGGAAAACACCAAAATTTTCTAGCTGCATCATTCTGAGTTGATTTTTTTAAGGCAAACTAATTGATATATCTGTTTTTTTCCCTCTCAGATCTTTTCAAAGATGTATATATATATATGGAGGCCATCAAAAATACTGTCAAGGGGGCTAGGGATTTAGTTCAGTTGCACCGTGCCTTGCAAGCACAAGGTCCTGAGTTTGACCCCCTGTACCAAAAAAAAATTTTTTTTGTCAAGAACTGCAGCTGTCAGTGATGAGTATCATAAATTGTCAAGCTAAAATTCAATTCTGCATCCCAATTAACCTTGCTCATCTCACCTGTCCCAGACATCTTGAATTTAGGAGATAAAAGTCTGAGGGTCTAGGGTCAGATTCAGTTAGCTTACCAAAATTTAAATTTGCATCTTTTTAACTTTTTTATTTCTTTGGTACTGGGGAGAGAACTCAGGACCTTAAGCTTGCAAGGCAGGTGTGGTGCCAGTGAGCTAAATCCCTAGCCCTTTTTCATTAATTTTTATAAGATAATATAACAGGAAATATAAAAACAATTTTATCAAATTTATTCAATTTAAGAATTGACTGGTTGAAATAATACCTGCCCGAGAGCTACTCAGGATAGTACATAAACAAATCACACAGATGATACTCAAGGTAAACTGTTAACTGGTTAAAAATAAATGTAGAAGTCAAGCATGGTGGTATGCGCCTATAATCCTAGCACTCAGGAGGGTGAAAAGGAGGATCGCCCTGAGTTTGAGGTCAGCCTAGGCTAACTAGTCAGTTAAAGGCAAGCCTAGACTACATAGAGACACCCTGTCTCAAAAAACAAAGCATAAAAAAGAAAAAAATGTAGAACTACCTTATAGACAAAACATTGGATATTTATAAAACATAAATATGAATTTTCAAATGCTGTAATAAACCTAGTCATTGCTCTCAACTATCTCTTCTCCTAAGTTATAAATGAAGAATCAAAAAATTATTTCTATAATGCAGTGATGGTGAATCTTTTCAGGCCTTCAATGATACAAACAGCCCACGATGAGTTCACCATCACTGCTATATGGGTTAAAAAATAAGTATTTTTTACTTTGTCTGTGCTGCAACTAGTCAAGTCTGCCATTAAACTGCAAAAGCACTCAAAATAGATGATACATAAATGAATTGGTAAGTTATGTTCCAATAAAACTTTACACAAATATGAGTGTGCCCATGAATTTGGTCCACAGACCTATAGTTTGAGGACCCTTCTTCTAAATCCTTACTTTATTTAACTCAACAACTTTTTTTTGTTTGTTTGTTTTTTTGAGATAGGGTCTCACTATGTAATTGAGACTGACCTGGAACTCACTATGTAGCCCAGGCTGGTCTTGAACTCACAGCAATCCTCCTGCCTCAGCCTCCCAAGTGCTGGTATTACAGGGGTGAGCCACCACGCCTGGCTTCTAACTCAATGACTTTTAATGACAGTATATAAACAATTCTGCTTTTCTAGTAAACACTGTACTTTGACAAATATCTTCCAAATTCAAATCTGACTCAGATATCTTAGTTCTCCACAGTACTTCTATAAAAGATAAAGCTCAAGTCATATCACTGAGTAATCCACAGACAGAGCGAATCCTGAGCTAATCTTTTTTTGTGGGGGTACAGGGATCCAACTCAAGATCTTGGGCTTGAGAGGCAGGTGGTGAAATCACTAAGCTAAATCCTCAGTCCCTTTGAGTAAATCTTTTTTTGTTTTGTTTTGTTGGTACTGGGATTGAACTGGGGCCCTTGGGCTTGCAAGGCAGGCAGCGGCACCACTGAGCCAAACCCCTGGCCCTTTAGAGCAAATCTTAAATAAGCTAAAGGCATTACAAGAATGTTCTGAAAGGTTCCTTTATTGGAACCTGCTAAGTTAAAATTTTTATTCCTATGTTTCTTACGATTTTGATTTTCCAAAAACTCTGGGAAATAGAAGAATTCAGGAATAAGTTCTTTCACGTCATATGGATTATCCATGAGAGCTTGCCAGGTAGCAGGAATGGAATGGAACTGTCGATCTGCACAGTCAAATCTGCGTGTGGAAATTGAAAAACAGTAAATACAGAATAAAAGCAACAAGAAGGCATGAAGCAAAACCTCTAAACTCCTTTAGGCTTCCAAGTGATTAGAACCATGGTCTTCTTAATCTTTATCTTACTCAAAATAGTTAAGAACCAAATCAGACTGGAGGAAAATTTTCAAGCAAATTAAATATAGTCTTAAACTTTAAAAAAAGTATAAATTATGTAGAGTAAAATTTATTGCAAAAAGTGATGTTACTTGGATATTTGAAAATCAGCATTTAAATGTAATTAAGCATTGTAGTATTAATATATTTGATATTTATAGGGATGATGTTGACTTAGCCCTTGATACATGATTATCTTTATAAATTCATCTACTCAAAAGGGTCAGTTAGGGAAATAGTCCTGTAACTAAAGCTTTCATATTTTACTTGCATATACTATTAGCTTAGTTTTAATTAATTAATTTTATTTAGATTTTACCATGAGTTCTTAGGACCTATGGGAGTTCGAAAAAGCTCAAGTGGAAATGCTGCAATTATGCCATCCTTTCCTCAATCACAGAAAAAGATAAACTCTTCCTGCTTTTGTTTCTGTTTTTTTCCCCCCTGGTACCAGAGACTGAACTCAGGACCTTGTGCTTGCTAGGGAAGTGCAGCACCACTGAGCTACATCCCCAGCCCCAAACTCCTTCTGTTTTATTTCCTGGATTTATTTAATAAGTAATGGCTTTGAGTCTAAAAAGGGAAGCTCATCAAACAAGGAAATTACATTGATGATAAAATTGACTTTTTGTTTTGTTTTGTTTTAGGGATTGAACTCAGGACATTGTGACTGAAGAAGTGCCACTGAGCTACATCCTGACTTTTCTTTGGATACCTACTAATTTTATTTTACAGACAAAAGACAGAGATTAGGCCATGTGTGGTGGCATATCCACATTTGAGAAGAAGCAGAGTTAACTGAGATAAAACCAACATACTACATAATTCATGCATTTTAGGTAGACAACTGCTGGCTTTAGTATATTCCCACTTGTACAACTATCACAGATCACAGGTTAATTTTAAAATATTCCCACTGCTCCAAGAAGAAACAGTGTTATCTATGAGAGGTGCTTCCCCTTCTGCTACCCTACCCCTGGCAACTACTAATATGAATCTGCTTTCTGTCTTCATAGTTCTTCCTACTCTGGACAGTTCATGTAAATCATGCAATATGTGGCCTTCTGGGTCTAGCTTTATGTTACTCAGCAAAATGTTGCCAGGGTTCATCCATATTGTAGCATGTATTAATACTTCATTACCTTTATTTACTCACAGCCCAACAGGAGCCCAGTATGTATATGGCTGTATCACATCTATTTATTCAGTATGTATTGACAGATGGACATGTGGGTTGTTTCTACTTTGGGGTTACTATAAACAATGCTGCTAGGAACACTTGTGTGCAAGCTATAGTGTGACTGTGTGTCTTTAGGGATACAACTGCTAGGTTACAGGATGATTCTATGTTTAATATTCTCAAAAACTGTGAGATTCTTTTCCATAAAGGTTGTGCTATTTTACACTCCCACCAGTTTCTCAACATGTTCATCAACAATAGTACTTATCCACTTTTTTTCATTAAGCTTATTGGTACATTTTTAGGTATACAATAGTTATATTCATCATTATAATCTTGTACCTTTACATGATGTATCTTTGGTTCTTATTTCCACCCTTTTTATTACAGTCATCATAGTGGGTCTAAGGTGCTCTTTTTGTGGTACTTGGGATTGAACTCAGGGGCTTGCACATGCTAGGCAAGTGCTATATCTCAGAGCTAAATCCTTAGGCCTCTCATGGTTGTGACTTTAATTTTCCTAATGTTAATGATGTTGAACATCTTTGTATGTGTTTATTGAACACTGGTATATTTTCATTAGAGAAAGGTCTGTTCACATCTTTTGCCCATTCTTAAATTGGGTTGTCTATTTAGTTGTAAAGGTTCCTTATCAGAGGCTTTTTATAGTGTTCATTTTCTTGATAGTGTCCTTTAAAGTACAATTTTTTGAAGCTCCATAAAAGTAATTTAATTATAAAATTATGAAAAGTAGAAAAGACTTAGTTATACTTTATTGCATCTTATAGGAGAAAAAGTACCTGCTATTATGATAAATGATGTAACATTTTAGTGACGTTTAGTGATTTTGGGGCTGGAGCCTCTTAAAAGCTAAGGCTTACAGTACTTAAGATACAAATAGAGGGCCAGGTGTGATGATGCCCTTCTGTAGTCCCAGCACTCAGGAGGCTGAGGTAAGAGGAGCTCTGTGAGGTATTATTATATTTATTATTATTATTATTATTATTATGAGACAGGGTCTTGCTGTGTAGTCCACACTGGCCTTGAACTCTATGTAGCCCAGGCTGGCCTCAAACTCACAAGGATCCTTCTGCCTCGGCCTCTTGAGTGTTGGGATTATAGGCATGCACCATTATGCCTGGCTGGATCTCTGTCAGTTTGAGGCTGGCCCCTGGGCTACAAAGTGAGTGCAAGGCCAGTCTGAATTACATAGCAAAATACTATCTTGAAAAAAAAAAAAAAAGATAGGGATAGAGGATACTGGCTGTGTGAGACAGAAGATACACAGAAAGCAAAAAGAATAGGGACTTGCTTACATAGCTCTTGACTGGGTGGGAAACAAAAAGTAATGTTTAAAAATAAGGCAACACAGAGACGAAATATGTATAAGCAGGGAGCTACCTGGAATATTCGTTTTGGAATAGAGGATTAGGAGAAGTAAGTTTCCTTAGATTCATAAAGAAAATGTGAAATGTAAGTAAGTTATGATACTCATTTAACATACTAACAGAACTACCAGAGACCAGTTTAAACAGGCTACGAGTCCCTTATTGCTCCATCTTGATGAATATTCTTAGGAGGACAATACAGGCACTACTGAGATTTGACTCTCTACAGATGGCTTAGATTTAGTTCTAAATCAGATCTAACACTAAATCTCTGGTGAATTCCTCAAAACAGTAGTAATCCCCAAAGGTACACTGGGATAACAGTGAAAAAAGACCTCTTAAAAGTCATTTGTTGGAGTTAGAGTGATTCAGTCTCAAACTAGTTGGCTGTCTTTTTGTTTTGTTTTGTACTGGGGATTGAACTCAGAACCTTGTGCCTGCAAGGCAAGCAGCAGAACCACTGAGTGTGGAACCACTGAAGTAAATCCCAGGTCCCAGTTTGGCTGTTTTTATTTGAATCAAAACCTAAGGGAGGAAGGAAAGGAAGGAGGGGGAGAGAAGGAGTGTGGGAGACAGGGAGAGAGAGAGGAGGGAAGGAGGGAAGGAGGGAGAGAGAAAAGGAGGGAGAGAGGGAGGGGAGAGAGAGATAAGAAAGGAGAGAGGGAGAGACAAAGAAAATAAGTAGAGGGGAAAGGGGAAGAGGTGGACGAGAAGGAGACAATGACATTATACAGCACAGAATGTCAAGGCACATCACTTTCAAGATTAACATACATTGTAAGAAAATAGCTTATTTCCCCCAAACATACCTTCCACTCTGAAGCTGGATGTGAAGGGTGGTGAATGGTTCTACACGGATAAGATAGTGCATGACCCCCGCAGAATTTGAGTAGTGAGTACCATAATGAAACTTATCAATTGTTCCCATAGGATCCTCAAAATTTTCATATCTAAAAAAAGAAATGAGTTTTATGACCATAACAGCAAATTACATAAAGAGGCTTTGGTTTGTATTACATTGCTGGGAACAGTTTTGTTTTTTAAAAGAAAAAGTCAGCTTCATCATCGAACTGTAGTAATACTATCACATCTTTAATCTTTTTATTTTTTTCCTGTTAGGTAGCAGGGATTGAAGCCAGGGCCTTCACACTGAGCTACACCTCAGCTCTTTTTTTATTTTGAGGTAAGTCTCACTAAATTGCCCAGGCTGAACTCAAATCCTCCTGCCTCAGTGCCCTGAGTGCTGGGATTACAGGCATGCAACAGCAAGTTTCATTTCACATCATATTAATATATGAAAAGTCTTATTGTTTAATGACTTTTTCCAAACAATGTAATATCCCCAAATACTGGATTCTGAAGCCTTATTTAATTTTTTTTTGGAGACAGGGTCTCACTATGTAGTTCAGGCTGGCCTTGAGCTGACTATGTAACCCAGGCTGGTCTCAATCTTGCAGCTCTGCTCCTGACTCAGCCTCTGAGTGCTGGAATTCACAGGGATACTTCAGGATACTCAGCTAACATTTTTGTTTTATGTAAATAACACATGTTCATTATGGGAAACATTAGAAAACACAGACAATTAAAATAGAAGAAATATAAAACTATAATTCTCAGAGATAATTAACTGCCTGTTCTATTGTATGAATTAATACATGCATTTGTGTGCATGTGTGTGTGTGTGTGTGTGTGTGTGTGTGTGATTCTGAGGATAACCCTGGCACTCTACCACTGGGCTATACCTCCAGTCCTCCAAAAAAAAAAAACAGAAAATGGAATTAAAGCTAGGGAGTGCTGAGCCTCATCCCCAACATTTTTATTTTGAGACAGGATCTTGCTAAATCGCTCAGGACAGCCTCAAACTTGTGATCCTCTGGCCTTGGCCTCCTAAGTAGCTGGGATTATAGGCATGCACCACACTATAGTCAGTTCATTTTTTTTAATTCATATTTTTGTTAAATAATAGGTTTGCATTATTAATTTTATATCTTTCAAAATATTGCTCTGTCAGATAAATATTTACACATATTTATCAGTAGGTTATGATGTCTAAAATACCTAGGAAAAAACTTTTCCAGCATTGGCTTTAACATATACTTATTACAAGATGCAAAGAAATTCTGAGAAATATCAATTTAAATTTGGTGAAGAAGAGACATCAAAAGGGCTGGGGATTTAGCTCAGTGGTTCTGCCACCCGTCTTGCAAGTGCAAGGACCTGAGTTTGATCCCTGGTACCAAAAAAAAAAAAAAAGGACACCAACAGAACTGCAGTTATATAAAGGGCAGCCACCAATGTACTATTGTACTATAAAAACTTAGTAAATCAAAAAAAGATAACAATGGACTGGGGATTTAGCTAAGTGACACTACACCTGCCTCGCATATGCAAGGTCCTGAGTTCTACACCTGGTACAAAAAAAGGGGGGTCGGGATTTGAGTTAGTAGTTCTGCCACCTGCCTTGCAAGCACAAGGTCCTGAGTTTGATCCCTGGTACCACACACACACACACACACACACACACACACAAAGATTTTTAAAAGGGCTGGAGATTTAGCTCAGTGGTACTACCACCTGCTTCACAAGTGCAAGGTACTGAGTTTGATCTCCGGTACAACCAAACAAAAAAAAATTTGGTCAACTATAGCAGAAATCAATAAAAATTCAAACTGAAAATAAGTATGTTCAAAACAGTTAAAAAGCACTTACTTTTCTCGCATAATTTTGGCATTTTTATCATTGACTACTCCAATTGGTTTGGAAAGATCTCTAAATACAGTGGGGTTATTAAGGTCCAACTCTCCCGAGGTATAATCTTGTAAAATCCAGGGAAACTAGAAGAGCCAATGTTACAGTTGAGACATTCCTAATATCCCCATATCTAATATCAAATGCTTATATAAAGGAATACTCTCTAATAATATTTTTCCCTATTATACACGTTACATAAATATTTTAAGTATTTATTCATCTTCAGTTCAATGCTGTTATTTCTTATAAGTCCATGGCTATATTTTCAATGAAGTGGGGGAAAAAAGCTTTTATTTTAAATTATTCTTCATGAATTATACTTCTTGAAAACACCAGGATAGGAAATGTACATAGTTTGATTACAGGAACTAAAAAGTATTCTCTAAATAATGAAAAAAAGAATAAGATAAGACTACAAGAGCAAGAAGCAATTTAAATATGTTCAGGGACCATTTTCATCTTCAGAATTAAGGATTATTTTAATCTTACATCACTGCCTTTTCCCTTTTACTTTCCTTTTTAGTTTTATTTTAGGATTCCCTATTTTTAATGTTCATACAGAGATTTCTGTAACTGAAATACCTAATAGTTTCTCTGGTGTGCAAAACTATAATAGCACACAGGATCCTAATGAGATAATTAACAATGTGAAATAGGAAGTAAAGGGCTAAAGGTGTAGGGAAAGTGGGAAGGGTGGGGGAAAGGTAATAGGGGAGAGGAAAAAAATATGAGAAACTGAAAAAATGGAAACAAAGTGTTTGTAAATGGGGAGGGGAGGAGGGGGTGAAGGGAGGACAGGGACAAGGGGAAAAAATGAGAATCAAGACCTATTATGTGAAGGTACAGAATCCCAATGATGAATGTAACTGTATTGTATACCTAGATTGTACCAATAAACTCAATAAAAAGAAAAAAAAAAAAGAAAATGTACATAAAGGCAAAAAGTGTGTGTGGGTTGGTTAGTTATTAATTCATTCACATATTTATTTAATTTTGTGATCTTAGGAATTGAATTCAGGGCCTCACACATACTAGCAAGCACTCTCTCACTTAAGTATACCCAAGCCCCTATATACTTTTAAAAAATGAAATATAAACTATCATAAATACATTTATGTATATTGTAGAACTATAAGGCAATTCCTCATATGGGATTTATACAAAACTTACCACAGGATATTGTGCAAGGTCATTATAGGTTCGTCCTGCCATTGTATTTATTTGAATGAGGTAGTCAAAATTTGATATCTCTCTGTTCACCCATTTCTAGACAGCATAAAAAAAGAAAAATCAGAGCAGCATTTTTTTGTTTTTGTTTTATGCATGGATTGATTTTACTGTTTAAAAAAAATACGTTATTTTTGAGACAGGGTCTTGCTGTGTTGCCCAGGTTGATCTTGAACTTATGAGTTTAAGCAATCCTCCTTCCTCAGCCTCCCTGGGAGCTCACACCACAGACATATGCACCACTATTCCGGACCATGCGTTCTTTTTTAAAAAGAGAAAATTAATTTCATGGAAGGAATGATATGGGAGAGGGGAAAGCACTATACGCACAAAGAAAACAAGATTCAAAGATAAAAGGTCTGAATTGAAAGACAATAGTAATAATCAGAAGATGCAAGTTTAACTTTTTAAGCAAAAGTCTGAGACATAAAAAAACACCATGAGCAGGCATCGTGGCAGTAACACCAGGAGACAGGAGGGTTGCTGCAAGTTCAAGGTCAGCCTGAAATACACAGGGAGACCCTGTCTCAAACAGCCCTTGCCACAAGAACACCAAAACAATGACTTTTCCTACCTGTGTCAATCCAGATGCTTTAAATAACTCCTGTGGTGATCTTGTTCCATAACTATTTGGAGAAGTAAGTGATAATAGTCGGCTATATACTTTGTTTCTAACCTATAAAATATAGCATTAAAATCGGTCATTTTCTTGATAACAGTTTTAGTGAGATATTATCCATTCTTTTGAATTATGTAATTAAGTTGTAATTTAGTATATTCAGTTAAGCAACCATCCCATTATCCATGTAGGTCCTCCCCAATTCTGCCTCCTTTATATCTCTTGACCTCTGCTAATCTGTTTTTTGTCTCTAGAAATGTGGCTACTCTGGATATTTCAGATAAGTAGTGGGTTGTGGTGGTTTTTTTGTTTTGTTTTGTTTTTTTTGGTACCAGGGATCATACTCAGGACCTTGTGCTTTCAAGGCAGGTGGTAACACCACTGAGCTAAAGCCCAGGCCCAGTGGGTTATGGTTTTAACTTCTCTACTACACCTGGTACTGCGACTGAATGTGTTTCTTAAAAGTTCATGTATTGGAAACTTAATCCCCAAATTCCTATGTTAATAGTTGGAAGTGGGATCTTTGGAAGGTGGTCAGGATTAGATACAGTCATGAAGGTTGCGGACCTTGTGATAGCATTAGTGGTTTTTTAAGAAAAGGAAGAGAGACCCAAATTAATATTGTTTTCCTATCTCAGCCTGAGATGTATTCCCCTATCATATGGTACTGGTATCATGCCTGTTGACCTTCTAGCTTCAGAACCATAGGCCAAATAAACTTCTATTGTTTAAAATGAGTGTGTCTCAGGTACTTCATTATAGCAGCTGAAAATGGACTGAGGCAGTTAGTGAAGTCATCTATCTTTTGCAAAATTTTGTGTTAAGGCACTAGACTTTGAATTGGAAAACTTGCTTGCCTGGTTTGATTCAGTTATGCTATTTACTAACCCTGTCAGCAAATCATGTAGTTTACTGCACTTTATTAGCAAACAATATAATTTCTATCCTTAAAGTGTTATAAATTATTCAGAGCTATATAAATGTAAAGTAATACAATTCACCTTTAAATTTTAGCTTCCTCTTCTATAAAAAAGGGATAATGGAATTTGCCACATTTAATTTCAAGGTTGTTACAAAGATTAGATACTGTATACAAATGTGACTTAAAAGCTGGGAAGTTATGCAGATGTATATAGTAGGATAGCCTCAGTCAATTACATGACACAACTTTCCATAAAACACACGCTTTGTGTATTTCTATGATGGAGATTATTTTTAATAGCAAAAAGGTAACCTTTTCTTAAATTGGATAAATTATCTTTAAAATATATAAATCAGATCATCTATAGTAAACTTGGGTCCCACAGATGAACAGTAAATTAGTTACTTTCTGTGTTAATCTGGGTTCTCTGAGTAGACACGAAGACAGAATTAAACATGGAAAGATTTTATTAGGACAGATGCGCATGAGAGAAAACAGGAGAGGCTAGGAAGGTGGGGAGGGCTGTCTAGGTGTGAAACTAGTCTGACCTCAATTGAACAAAAGAGGGAAGGAATGTTCAGGTGCAGTATCCTAAGGAACAGGTTCAGTTTATACAGCTAGTAGCCAAAATGGTACTTGGACTCAGGTAATTTGGTTTCAGAGCCTGTGTGCTTAACAACTTACACTACTTAAGATTTACTATATTCCAAGAAGAAATAAGTACCCTATTATTGTTGAATTTGAACCAAAGCTAATTTAATAAATTCAGTCCTAATCTTATGTATTACATGTTACATCACATCAGGATACTGTGAGGCATCTATTTATAGCAATATTCTACTGACTATATTTATATATACCTATGAATATATGTATACACATATATATCTACATATACCCAAATAAACTGCAAACAACCACGCTGCCAACAATACAAGTCTCAATAAAAATTCACATAATGTACCTATAGGATCTCCCAAAATTTATTTTTTTCCTCTAATATTTTGTCTTGACAAGATTATAGTCCAAAGTTCCATTAATGCTTACTAGCTAAAGTTATTTCCAGCTAATACTTTGGGATTTCTAGAAATGCAGCATACCTCTTTTTTGAAATTGAGAAAGTAGTTGGACTGGTCAACATGAAAAATCTCAAGGGCTGATCTCCTTAAGTTGTAACGCCGTAAGTGAATCTCTCGAATTTGAGAATGAGGCCACTTGAAATCAAAGCCTACACCTGAAAACAGAAGAAATCTTGGGTCTGAGGCACTGCATAAAGTCACTCATGCTTTGAAACAAATATTGCCTTGATCCCAATAAAAGTATAACTTAGGGAAAGGAATTTTATAATATAAAAACTGTTTGTTAAATTTACTGGATACTTAATTGCTTCTTTTAAAACTATTTCAAAATGCTACAGCTATTCTACTGCTTTATAAGAAGAGAGAATAATTCTGAACAGTGTATATTGTTTTTTTTGGTACCGGGGATTGAACTTGGGTCCTTGCGCTTGCAAGGCAGGCCACCGAACTGCTGAGCTAAATCCCCGGCCCCAAACACTGTATATTGGAAACAGTTCTGTATTGGCATTTTAGTCAGTCAGTTATTTATTTATTTATTTACTTACTTTTTGAAGTACTGGGGAGTTAACCTTAAGCCTCACACATGCTAGGCAACTGCTCTAACACAAAAAGCAGCCCTTAAAAATTTTTAAAAATAATTTTGAAACCAGTCATGGTAACAGTCACCTATAACAGAACTCTGAGGGGCTGATGCAGGAGGACTGTGAGTTCAAGCTCAGTCCAAGGCAATTTAGTAACTTAGTGAAAACATATCTCAAAATAAATAATTTAAAAGGAGATATAGCTCAAATCCCTGAATTCATACCCAGTATTCCACCAGAAACAAAACCAAAAATAAAACAACAACAATGACAAAAAAGGAGAGAGAAACAGGATCTGGCTAAGTCTCTAAATTTCCCAGGATGGATTCCAACTTGCAGTCCTCCTGCCTCAACCTCCCAAAGTGCTGGGATTACAGGCATACACCACCACACTCAGTTTAAACAGCCTTTTACTATCACATATAGGATTAGAAGAGAAGCTTATGGGCATGTACATAAAAGTACGATAAAATGAAGAGTCTTTCATAACTTTAAAATATAATAAACAATGAAAGCACTCCCCCCTTCAACATACTGATAAATAAATTTAACCCCAGGCTGACTTTTCACTTTTCATTTTACACGATAGCCCACAATTTCACTGTTCCATCTTACTGCTTTCTTCTTCTCATTCAGGATTTATTAAACTGAATACTCAATTACTACACAAAAGTTATTTTCCTATAACTCCTCACCATCTTCTTTTTCAATGCTGCCATCATAGAAGTATATGTATTGAGTAGTGATTTCTAATTTGCCAGGAATTACATCAATTACTGTGATAAGTTCACAGTCTTCTGTCAATACCAGTTTTTCTTTATGATCCTGTTCTTCTTTCTCATCACTGTAAAAACAAACCAACAACCAAAAAACCACATAAATTTATTCTGCTTAAATAGAAAGGAGTATATGTAAATATAAATCTCATATCTAAAATTAGTGCCCAAGAATTTTTGAATTATCTATAAGAAATTTTCTATTGAATATTAAACTAAATACTATGCAATGATTTGTTATCACAAAATGCTTTAATTTTAATTTTATATATTAAATATAATGAATCTAAGTGAATTGAAGAAGACAGTTAAAAATGCAGCAGTAAGCCCAGCGTGGTGGTACATGCCTGTAATCCCTGCACTTTGGAGACTGAGGCAAAATTACTGTGAGTTCAAGGCCGGCCTGGGCTACATAGCAAGACCCTGTCTCCAAAAAATATTTAAAAATTTTAAAATGCAGTAATATTTGTCATATCATTTTAGTTCTACTCTAAACATGAGTTAACCCAGGGCATATATAAAAAGATTGTCATTTTAGTGGTGTTTTATAAATGATGATAACAAGTACTAATTATTACTTTTAAAGTATAAAGTGAGACTTTGCAAAAGTAACTACAAATAGAGCCATCATCACCTTAACATCCTCCTGATATAGGAACTGGTGATAAAACAAAGAGCTTCTCTTACATAAATCACTAGAGTCATACATCTTGTCTTAGGAGGAATGTTATCATCTATATTTGCTGGAAGGAGTAACCCCAAAGGGAGAAGCATCAGGTGGTTCAGGTGACTTTAACTGCCAATTAAAGAAATAGGCACTCATACGACTCAGGAAATGTTATTCAAGTAAATCTAAGTTGCTCTCTAGGCCTATTTCACAAGTGTCTCATGTTTGGGATAGCAAAGACTAAGTCTAATTTTGTTTCGGGTGGATTGCCATAAAAATATGTCTCACAAACTTAGCTGGTAATACTGCCACCCTTTACTTAAAAGTAAGGCTTTAAAAGAGGAGCAAAAGATTAAGCAGAATTATCATACAACCAAATTTTCCACTATGAAGAATATACCAAAGATAACTGAAAATATATGTTCATACAAATTCTTATGTGTGAATATTCATGGAATTATTCATAATAGCTCAAAAACAGAAACAACCTAAATGCTCATCAGTTAATAAATGGACAAACAAAATGTGGTATCCATAAATAAATCAGTATTTGGGTATATAAAGGAATAAAGCATTGTTATGGAAAACATTATGCAAAATAAAATAAGCCAGATACAGAGGAACACATATTGTAACAACAGAGGGCCATACAGTGTAAGATTTATAGGAAATATACAAAATAGGCAAATCCATGGAGACACAAAGTAGATTAATGATTGCCGGGTTTTGAGGGCAAGGGGAAAACTGGGAACAACTATTGGAAGGTACAGGATCTCCTTTTGGAATAACAGAAATGTTCTGAAATTAGATAGTAATGATGGTGCATAGCTTATGAACACAGTAAGAAATTGCTGTATTAAACCCTTTAAGATAGTACATTTTATGTTGTGAAGTATATCCTGATTTCTAAAAACAGACCCAAAAATGAACTAAACATCAAGCCCTCCCTGTTAATAAAGACTGGAAGAATTTGTAGTTATTAAACCTTTCTTATAACAGCAGTATTAAAAGAAGTTCCTCAGACTAAAAGGAAACAAAGTGCATTCAGTTACCCCTGGTGCCATTTATTTCCTTTTAGATTGAGAACTTCCTTTTTGGAGTAACTGATGCAAAGAAATAAAGTTTTCTAATATGCATGACAATGATAATACAGAGGGGAGATGAAGAAATATTTTATATTTGCATAGGGGAGAAGTTTATTTGCATAGGGGATAAGTTTAAAACTACAAATTTAAAATATAAAAATATGGGAGTCTCATTCACAACATCACCCCGGCTTGGACCCAGAGCCCTCTCTATTGTGCGGCCGCCCAATCTACGGGCCTGGAGCTGTGCCATTTCCAGCGTGCACCTTGATTGCCTCCGACCCAGCACCAGGAGGGTGAGTTTCGTTGGAGACATCACCCCAGCTTGGACCCAGAGCCCTCCCTGCTGTGCGGCTGCCTGATCTACAGGCCTCCTCTGAAGCTGCGCCATTTCCAGCATGTGCCTCTGATTGGTTCCGACCCAGCTCCAGGAGGGTAGCCACGTGGGCGCCACTGAGCACCATCCCCCGCTCCCAACTCTTAGATCCCTTGATTGAGCCAGTCCTTGGACACACTCTGCAGAGGTATGGGGGGCTATAAAGGGCGGTGACTGATCCTATTGTGTTCCTGATTGTATCGATTGGGATAAAGGATAGGGATTGATTTGATGAGTTGCTTTCTCAACTACAAAAATGAGAATGCCTATAAGTCATTAGAGAATCAAAGGCTGGGACGCAATGATATCAGGAAGATTTAATGACCCAGAGATTGAATCAAGGGCAACTCAACAGTAAAAATAAAGATGAGAAAACACTTGAGCAAGCCACAAAGACTTCCAGTCCACCAATGGCAAACAGTAGGGCAAAGGAGGATGATAAGTCTGATAGTGAACCTCCAGGACACTCAGAACTTCACAGCGCAGGAAGTATCAAAACTGATCAATCAAGCTCTAAAAAAATTCAAAACAGAAATTATTTCCCAGATAACCATAGAGATGGTAAGCAAAATGAAAGACACGATTCAAGACTCCAGAACAGAAACTGACAAAAAAATAGATGAGCTTAGGAACATAATAGAAACCATGAAGGCCGAGAATCAGAAAGAAATGGAAACAATGAACACCCAACACAGGAAAGAAATGGAATCCATTAAACAGATTCAAACGGATATCCAAGAGATTAAAAACTCTATTGAAAGTGTAGGAAACAGAATAAAAGATTGTGAAGAAAGAATCCTCTATATAGTAGATAGGATCACGCACAGTGACCGTGAAAAGAGAGGTCTATTAAAAACAGTAAGGGAGCATGAGAAATTGATCCAACAACTCCTAGATGATGCAAAGAAGAATAACATAAGACTGATAGGAATCCATGAAGTAGCAGGAGAAAATGCAAATGACTTAACAAAGCTGTTCAAAGAATTAATGACAGAAAACTTCCCAAACAGAGGGGAAGAATTGGACATACAGATAAGTGAGGCATATAGGACACCAACTAGCCACGATCAAAAAAAATCTACACCTTAGACATATAATAATAAAGATCCCAGAAACCCAACAGAAGAACAAAATACTACAAGCAGTAAGAGAAAAGAAACAAATCACATGCAAAGGAAAGCACATCAGAATCACAGCAGACTTTTCAACACAAGCCCTCAGGTCAAGGAGAGCATGGAGTGAGGTATTTCAAATCCTAAAAGAAAACAACCTACAACCAAGACTGATGTATCCTGCAAAACTCTCTTTCAAAATGGATGGAGAAATAAGATACTTCCATGACAAAGAACATGAGAAACTTCATGAATACTAAACAAGCACTACTAAGAATGTTAAACAATATCCTAGAAAAAGACAATGAAGTTCACAACAACAGGAGACCCAACAGAGCAAATCAAATAGCCAAGGCAAGAAATTAAAAGGAGAGGACAAAAAATAAAGAGTCAACAAAAGGACAATAACATGACAATAATAAGTCAGTACATATCAGTTATAACTATCAATGTCAATGGCTTCAATTCACCAATCAAGAGAAATAGATTGGCAAAATGGATGAAGAAGCAAAATCCAACAATATGTTCTATAAAAGAAACACACCTAGTGCAAAAAGAAGCCCATAGACTGAAAGTGAAAGGATGGAAAACAATTCTCCATGTGACAGGACCCCAGAAAAAAGCAGGGGTAGCAATCTTATTCGCAGACAAAGCAAATTTCAAACCAAAACTGATTGAGAGACAAAGAAGGCCACTACATCCTTGTAAAGGGAACAATTCAAGAGGAAGAGATGACAATCATAAACATATATGCACCAAATATAAATGCCCCCAACTATATAAAATATAAAAATATGTCTAAGGCTATTAAGGTCATCTATTTCTTGAGGGAGGTTTGGTCATTTGTATATTTCAAAGAATTTGTTCTTCTCACTTAAATTGCTAAATGTACTGGTATAAAGTTGTCATTGTATTCTTTTTTCAACACTTTAATATTTGAGGTGATATCTCCTCATTCATTACTGATACTGTCTTTTTTTTTTTTAGCTTTTTGAGACAGGATCTCACTACATAGTTGAGACTGACCTGGAACTCACTATGTAGCCCAGGCTGGTCTTGCACTCACAGGGATCCTGCTGCCTCAGCCTCCAGAGTACTGGGATTCTACGCGTGCGCCACCAGGCCTAGCCCTGATACTGTCTTTTAATCCTAATTAGTCTGGCTATAGGTTTATATTTTTTGCTAATTATTTCTTAATAACAAAACTTTTGTTTCCTTTTTTTGGTTTTGTCTTCATGGATTTCTGGTTTCACCTTTATTTTTGCTTTTGATCTTATACTTCATGCTGTACATTTATTTATTTATTGCTGGTGATAAGGATCAAATCCAGGGCACTGTACATACTAGGCTAGGGCTCTGTACTGAGCTTCACCTTCAGCCCTTGTACTGTACATTTCTACTTGCTGTGGTTTGGATATTAAATATCCCCCAACAGTCTCCAGTGTGGCAATATTCAAAGATAAGGCCTTTAGGAAGTGAATGGATCATGGGACTCTGAATTCATGGGTGGTTTAATCTATTTTTGGATTCACAGTTTCATGGGTTTTGGGCAGTCTTTGTTATAAAATCCAGCTCTCTCTCTCTCTGTACTCCCTGGAAGTCATGAGGTGAGTAGTTTTAATGCACCAAATGTTCCTGGCCAGGGTATTTTGCTTTATCACAGCCTAGAATTAACAGAGTCAAGTGACCATTGGCCGAACCTCTGAAATCATGAGCCAAAATAAACCTTTCCTTCCTTTAGTTAATCTTTGTATTTTTTCACAGTGAAGGAAAGATAATATTACTTTAAACATAGCTTAGCTATATTTCACAAATTTGATATTTTTCATTATCTTGTTTTAATCATATTTTCTAATTTCAAGGTCCAGCTCCAAATGATCTCAGTTCTAAGAAGCCTTCCTTAATAACCTCAGTGAACTCTGATAGATCCCTAACAAACAATCAGCATTAATTATTGGAAATACACTGTTAGAATTTCAAGCAAATCCACAATTCTGCAATCCCATTTCTTAGAATAAAATAACTAAAAGTTATTCACAGTAGTCATACATACGTATTTACTCTGGCTGTTATGTCCTCTTCAAAAAGTTCCAATTTATCCTCCTCCATGTCACTAACCTTCACTTGTTTTGCTACTTCCAAAAGCAATGAATCACTGGAAGGTTGTGATTGCTGGACACCTGTTTAAACATAAAGTATCTATTAAACATAAAGTAAAAATTAGTATTATAGCCCTTCTATAATTTCCATTAACTATGCAATAATATGTATTACAAGTAAAGAAGGTACTTTAATTTAGAATATTCTATGATGCTTGATGGTGATTTTTAAATACATGTGGTAAGATGTATAAGTGCATTTTTTTGTTTTGTTTTGTCTTTGAGACAAGGTCTTACTGTGGAGACCAGGCTGGCCGTGAACCTATGGCAACCCACCTGCCTCAGCCTCCCGAGTGCTGGGATTACAGGCAAACACCACCACATCTCGCTTCAATATGGTAAATATTTTTAATGATAATATTAACTGTTTTTGAAATAGGCCAATAGCTGGGTATGGTGATGCACTTAGCACTCAGGAGGCTGAGGCAGGAGGATGGCCACAAGTTCAAGGTCAGCCTGAACAACATAGCAAGATTTTTTATTTTGTCTCAAAATAAAAATAAATAAAAAGCAATAGGTTAGTATACTGATAGTCTGATACAAACACAGAACTTTATGTAGTTAAGTGACACTATATAAATCATACTTAATCATATTTACTTCTAAAGCATGCTGATTATTAAGTCAAAGAATCATTCTCACTGTATTAATATAATACAATTATTATTATTAATTATTATTTTGTACTGGGGATCAAACTCAAGACCTTGCACTTGCAAGGCAGGCACAGTGCAAGCTAAATCCCTGGCCCATCAAAGTATTATGCATCTGTAAATAAATACTAAGAAAGAATATATGACAAATTGTCTTTAATTGTAAGATAAAATACAGACCAATAGCTAAAGTATAATTCTATTATATATATGTGCAATAAATATAACATACTACTTTTTTTTTTTTTTTTTTTTTTTTTTTTTTTTTTTTT